TGAAAATATCAAACAAATTCTACAAATACCACATCGCTGGAAGTGACCTTACCCGGAACATCACCACACTACGCCAACACCATAACATACGCAAGAAACACGGGCTGATATATGCATCAACCGATGTGTTTAGAGAACCTGGTGATCTATAGTTGGGACCCCTCCCGGATTCTCGGGAATACCCGAGACGCCGGGGGGTCTAGACAAGACTATCTCTCGAGCAGGAAAATAAAAAAGTGACATGGGCGTGAGAAATCACTACCGATCACTGAACTCGGGCAGATGTGCCTCACGAAAGTGTGGTACAACTGCCCGAGCAGAACAAGAAGGAGGTTTTTTATGGTTTTGCCGATTTTTTTTACTTTTCCTCCAAAAACAAGTTAACCCACCCACATTGATCGCGACTGAACAGCTCCCCCACCCTCTTGGGTACCCTCAGCGAGATTACCTATATAAAGGGCCTAGCCCTAGGAGATAGGTACCTGTGACGAACACCTCGCATACCCACTCACATTCCCTGGCCAACACCAGCCACCTCTGCGCCAAGCGGAGGGATATTCAGGCACATATATACAGTGTGTCCACCTTAAGGACTTACCACCCCTGTAAAATTGTTATCATCTGACCGATTTCAAAAAACTTTTTTTTGTTGGATAGGTATTCGAAATGTCCATCCAACAAGAGAGTGATTTTACTCATGAACTGTAATCGTGGCCAACTGCGACCAACTTTATTGACCCATATTTGGGAAAGTACTATTAGGGATTTTTTTTCAAAAAAATCAATGATGGATTCTGAATCACAATCACTTGAAAAACACCTTTACTGATTTTCATCAGCATAAAACACAGGGTGTCCGAAAAAACGAATTATGTTTTTTTTTTAATAGGTGATCAGAAAATGTAGTATTGTGGTATTTTTGAGAAGAATTGATGACACATTATTATTGAGAATCACTTTGCACATATCTGTACCGATTTTCATCATTCAAAAATACAATGTGTATGAGAAAACAATTAAAAAGAAAAAGTAGGCAATATTTTTTCAATTCAAAAAAATTAATGATTAGATTTTTCGAACACCCTGTGTTTGATGATGATGAAAATCGGTACAGGTATGTTCCAAGTGATCCTGATTCATCTTTTTATTTCGAGTGAAGAATTATCAGGATGAAAAATGTTGCTCACCTATCCTTTTTAATTTTTTTCTCAGACACATTGTATAGTAAAATGACGAAAATTGATACAGGTATATTTAAAGTAATCCCCAATGATAATTTGTGATTATTTCTTTCTAGAAAAACCACAGAACTACATTTGCTGATCATCTATTTGAAGAAAATGATGATTCGTTTTTTCGGACACCCTGTGTTTTATGATGATGAAAATCGGTACAGGTATATTTCAAGTGGTACTGATTCAGAATTCATCATCAAGTTTCGTGGAAAAAGATCCCTGATAGTACTTTCTGGAATATTGGTCATTGAAATTTGTCGCAGTTGGCCACGATAACAGTCCAAGAATTAGATCACTCTCTCGTTGGATGGGCATTTCAAATACCTATCCAACAAAAAAAGTTTTTTTGAAATTGGTCGGATAATAACGATTTTACAGGGGTGGTAAGTCCTTAAGGTGGACACACTGCAGATGTGCTAACATAAATAGAAATGTGTGTGATAATATGTGTTGTATTGTGAAAGAATTGAAGATGAATAAATAATTTTAATGTGTGGTGATCTAAAGGTCGTTGGATCGATCCCCCGTAGGCGCGGAATCTCAACGTCCCCAGTACGTACCTGAACGTCGATCGTACCAAATCTGGACGTTCCCAGTACGTACGAAACGTCTTGGCCGGACGTTCTCAGTACGTTTTGGGGACGTACTCGTGCTATATGGGATTATTCACTTAGGCCGAGTAAGAATAGATTGTTTTAAAAAAGAAGTATCTTATGTTCTCTCAATTAATTAAGTTTGCGAAAAATATGCTTTCTAGGAAAAACGTTCGTTTAGGCCGAGTTAGGTTGGTTAGATTAGGTAGTTTAGAAAATGTAGTCTCCTTCCTTATGCAGAAAAAAATATTTTCCTTCCTTATAATACGTCGAAATTCGGGTCGATCGAAATTTGGGTGTGAATCGAATTTGGGGCGAATCGAAAATTGGGCGAATCGAAAATTGGGTGAATTGAAAATTGGGCGGATCGAAGATTGAAGGAATCGAAAATTGGGTTAATCGAAAATTGGGTGGATCGAAAATTGGGTAAATTGAAAATTAGGTGAATCAAAAATTGGGCAAATCGAAATATGTACCATACATGCATACATATTATGTGTATAAAAAAATTGAAATATTCAATAATAATAAGCCCAGAATGATTCTTCATTCAGATTTTGCAACAACAAAATTGGGCGAATCGGAAATTGGGCCAATCGAAAATTGGGTGAATCGAAAATTGGGCCGAACGCAACCTATAGGTACCCATTCTAACATCTACAGATATAATTATCATTTTATGTCAAACTGACTGAATTTGCTTCCTTATTCTTGGATACATCTTTGAAAACACCAACGCTGATAGACCAATCATAATTGAAAGACGGCAAGTGATTTCGCGTTAATACAAATTTCGTTGGCTCGTGATAAGTCAGACTACCTATGTGAGATAAGTGGAATAGTCACCATCAAGTGTGGTCCTACTGGGGGATTAAAGATAAAATAATGGAAATAATATCAACAAGAGAACTACCAAGAAATCAAAATAACTAGCTGAAATAGTTCGCAATTTTCCAACAAAATTGCAGCAATTTTTATTGCGCGAGTTACGAACGCCACAACAATAGGAAGCATTAATAGAAGATGAGCCATCATACTTCCAGATCATCCTGAAAGGAACATGCATCGTAGAAACAATAATTCATTGTTCTATTTATAATCGATCGATGATTTGCTTGCTACTTTGATAAACTTGATTATTGTAATCCATCGCAATTTGAAAACAGTCTTATTCCAACTTCGAATAGATTCACTAGATGTAAGAAAAGTCAACAATACAGTTTTTTAAAAGCGAATTTGCAGGAGACCTGTCGTAATGGGGGATTCTCGGTGTTTAGCATCATTAATTATGCATCTTTAGATTCAAATTGATTGTTACTGTTTTCATGGCTTCTTGTTTACCTAGAGACAGTATTCTTTTACCAAACTCTTCCGATTCAGGGTAAAATAGTATGGAAACAAAAAGCACAATCAATATGATGTTCTGAAGAAGTTACTAAGTATATGAAGAACATCATAAAATGACTGTTAACATCTCTAGAAATATCATTTTGGCTCTTTCGATCGTAGTTGATGAGTATACAACAGCCTATCAGTTAATAACTCCAAATTAATATTATTATTAAATCGTCGTTATTCTCATCACAGAAAAAAAAACACGTTAAAAATATTAGATTTCTGCTCTCGAACAAGAATTTGATACCTTTTTCACTTTCACTAATAAATTACTATTTTTACTAATTACTCATTTGCATTCAAAAATACAGATTTCCATGTTGATTTATTAAATATACGTAATATCAAAATTAGTTCGAGTATTTAAAAATGACAAGGGAACCGAGACCTACGTGGCGGGACAATCGGTATACTTGATATAATCGCCGCCATTCGCCGCTCTCGAAGTTTTCGCGTGCCAATCGGTTGGTATGTACGCTTGGTAATCTTGGTATCCGATCTTCCAGAATCGGTGGGGGGCCGTGGACAGTGAGCCTCAGAATCGTGGTGGTCAGAGTAAAGTGTTCCTTCCTCCAAACGAAAAGACCGGGGTTCGATCCCTACTCCAGCCTCCAGCTAATCTTTTTTTTTATTTTTTTTCGAAGTAATTTAGTGGAAAAATACTGTGGAGGAAATTTTCAATTTCTCGCGCCCAGCGGGCTGCGAGCAGCGAGCGAGGCGCAATATTACTTCGCTATGGTATGGTGCTATGTCTAGACTCTAGTTAAATATTGAACGGTGACCAGCGTTGGGGCATAAAACCCCCATCATCTAGTACGTTCTTTGATTCCATCCATGATAATGAAATTTATAATGATCATGTCATCAAGAATATGAGTAGCCCAAGGATTGTGCATCTGAAACAGACAATTGACGTAGTGTCTGTTTTTTTTCCACAATTTACATATCAAACTTCCAATGAATTTGGTCCAACTTGTATGTGTCCACTGTTCACCTTTCATTTCCGTAAGAGTATTTATTGTGTTTTATTTCACATTGTTATTGGTGACTGAGGTATTCATTCCGTTCCATTTTTCGGTATTGTAGTTATTGAGTGTTTATATAGTTACAAAACTACCCAAATAAAGTTCCGTTTTTATTATTTTTATATTTTTTCATCACTTGTCGAATCTAGTACGATCTATTACAGTTGCGTACTAGATTTTAGTACGAATGATCGCTACTAAAAACCTTAGTTGCCGTTCTTAGTACTATTGGAATTTTCTAGTACATTTCATACACATTCAGTACGTCAACCCAATTAACACTAATCCAGTACAAAAACAAGAGCCGGATAGCCCAAGCTATTATTGCATACAGAACAATTATTTGGAGAAGATAATATATGTTAAAATTGGAATCCTAATGAAGCTCTCATTGATAAAAAATCCATTCAAAGGAGAAACAATTATTATGAATTGATGTGGTTTTTCGTTCTTCCGTATAAAAGCAAAAAATACCGTTTGAAAAAAATTGTACAGAAAAATTTATTGCATTGAGAACGGCAACAATGCAAAGTAATCACGATTCAACCAACGATTCAATTCAACCACCACGTCATAAACATCTCAACCACGTCCTATGAGAAGTTAGGTGTCTGTGAACGTGCTTCTGTGCTCTCTGTCATGTGCACCCAAGGTCTCAAACTACTGTCCTGTGTCAGATCTCAGCTGTTCGGAGGGTTAAGAAGTGAAGTGGTAAGAGGAATGAGGAGCGTGGGACGAGGGACGTGAGAGGAGAGCAGAAGATTGTAGGTAGCTGTCAGGTTCTGACGGTCAGATTATCTGGCTCTGGCAACAATTTATTGATTTTGAAAATGATGGCGCCTACACATATGTTATTTTTGCGGGTTGTTTTTCTGTTCCTTCTATTTTTTGACTTAACGTGTTGTGAAGTGAAGAAATTTCCATTACTAATGCCAAACGTGTATCCTGACAGAGTAAGTTACTCAATGTCAATACCTACTACCGGATTTATTTTAATTAGAAAAATTACTCGTGCCTATATATTAATTGTACTTTCGTATTTGATGTATTATTCAATATCATATACCATTACATAGAATACCTGTGAAGCACTTTTCAAGGTAATTTTTAATCTGTGGTATTTGTAAATGCCTAAAAAAAAAAAAAAACCCATTCAATTTTTCCTATAATATATATTTATATACAATAACCATAACAAAATTTTATAATTTTACCGATTTAGTAAATTATACAGGATGTTTTCGAAATTGAAGCGATGAACAAATAGGGCTGTTTGTATTTGAACATTTTTACAAAAATGTGCACTCTTCTCTCAAACCACATCTCTCTTATAATGTCTTGTATGCGCTTGTATGGGTGATTGTTTATATTTTACTGAGTATTTTACTCAATAACTATCTCAGTTGATATTATTGGTCCTACAGAAATGTTCATATATGGGCAAAAGTATTTTTCATGGGCATTCAGAATCTATATAGTACTAGAAAATTCAAAAAAGCATCATAAACCCAATTTTTCTGAACGGTAGGGCTCATTCTTCTGACTTCAAATATATATACTTTATTCGATATAAAGTATTTTATCAAGGTTCTATTGACCAGGCACTCTCTTTTTTGTTATTAATGTTTTTGACCAGTGGTGCAAAATTGATTTTTTCTTGTTAAATTTTTTTTACGTGAATATCACTGAACCAATTTCAATTAAATTCCAGGAGTATGTAGGTAACCACTGGAAGCACTTAGATGTGCAACATATGGCATTTGTGTGGGTGATTGTTTATATTTTACTGAGTATTTTACTCAATAGCTATCTCAGTTAATATTATTGGTCCTACAGAAATGTTCATATATGGGCAAAAGTATTTTTCATTGGCATTCAGAATCAGAATCTATAGTACTAGAAAATTCAAAAAAGCATCATAAACCCAAAAATTTTACTGGTATTTATTTTGAATGAAGCACCCTGTATTTTATTTTTCTGAACGGCAGGGCTCATTCTTCTGACTTCAAATATATATACTTTATTCAATATAAAGTACTTTATCAAGGTTCTATTGACCAGGCACTCTCTTTTTTGGTATTAATGTTTTTGACCAGTGGTGCAAAATTGATTTTTTCTTGATATATTTTTTTTTTTACGTGAATATATCACTGAACCAATTTCAATTATATTCCAGGAGTATGTAGGTATAACCACTCTGTAAGCACTCAGATGTGCAACAAATGGCATACCATTTAAAATATATATCATTATGACGTCACACTTTTTTGAATCGAAATTATTTTCCTGATATGCGCCCTATGATACAATTGAAGTCTGCAAAAATCAAAATCCTGACTCGACTGATAACGGAGCTATAGAAGACTGGAGATGATGAGATGCAGGACCCTGTCATTATCTTATGTGTACATCATAATTTTAAATGTCTTTGCCTATGCTGCATACTTTTTTAAAATACTTTTTGTATAACTTACGTGTATATCCATTTTCGGATGGCTGCTGTATGCTAATAATAATAGGAATAAACATTTATTATTATTATTATCATTATTATTATTATTATAAGACTCTAATTATAGTAAAAACTCATATCAAGTCAGGTCGTCAGGTCCCGTTTTAATGTTGGTAAAACCAAGAAACAGAAAAGGTTCTCGAAATGTAAGAATTTTCGATTTCGCCCTGTATCTCAAAAACATAGGTAGGGCTAGAAAATGTAAAATAATTGAAAGAAAAATGACACTTTTCAAAAACTCAAAACAGAAATGACGCTACTGTATATAGTCGACCTCTCGATCTAATCCTAAAGAAATGAAAACTATACAGGGTGTTTCATTTTGATCTGTGAGAACAAAATTTTATTTTCAATCACCTAAAACCTCGCTTGAAACATACAAAAATATCGAATTTGGTCTACCCTGTATAGAAACTTGCGAAATATTGAAGTAAAAAAGATTAGATTATGCAAATCCATAGATGCGTTGACGCGCAAAATAATCAGGTTTCATCATCGCACCATCAGGCCACATTGATTTTCGATAAATTATAATAATACATAATATGATACCTATATGAATTTCTCGATTTTTGATTATGTTCATGTGTTATCTAAAATAAACGTCGCCCATATGTTTATTTATATTGTATATCTAAATTACTGCACAGGCTGTTTAAAAGAGGGTGTTTCAGAATTATGTTGACAATTATGTTAATATAACTGTGAAAAACCTACTTTTAGTTCAAGAACTTATTATACCCATCTTAGTCAAACTCGTCAACAAAATGTTCACAACTGGAATCTTCCCTAATGTTTTGAAAATTGGTAAAATCACTCCTTTTTTTAAGGCAGGATCAAAAAATGAAGTAGAAAACTATCGTCCCATAACTGTAGTATGTGCATTGTCGAAACTCTTAGAAATTATCATAAAAAAAGGGTCAATTGTTTTCTTACTAAATATGTTGAGCTAGACAGATTCCAGTATGGCTTCCAAAAGCAATCAAACACACAGAGCGACACAATGGACTTTTTGAACCACGTTATAACCAATCTAGATAACAAAAAATATGTCATAACGATGTTTGTTGACTTACAAAAGGCATTTGATGTAGTTGACCACGAAATGTTAATGAATAAGCTCAACTTACTGGGAATAAGAGGTAAATGTGCAGATCTTCTAGAAACATATTTACGAGACCGAAAACAGTATGTGTCACTAGATAAAGTCAACAGTGCACTGAAAAATGTTACCTGTGGAGTCCCACAAGGGTCAGTCTTAGGGCCTATGTTGTATTCTTTACATACACTAAACCTTAAAAAAGCCAAATTGAAAGCTCGCTACTATATATTTGCAGACGACACTGTTCTTGTCTATGAAGGAAATAACCTAACTGAATTGGAACAGTTGGTGAATAATGATTTAAAACTGTATGCCGAGTGGCTTCTAAGTAATAAACTTAAAATAAATATTAATAAAACTATTTTTATGTTGTTCAAAAACAAAAATATGGAAACCCGTGATTTGTCAATAAAAATTGGTTCCCAAGAAATAAATATAGTCGAATACACCAAATATCTAGGACTGGTTAAAGATAATAAGCTAAACTGGCAGGAACACTCAAATCATATTTCAAAAAAGGTAGTCCCTATGATTGGTGCTTTGTATAGATGTGGTAGCTATCTGAATACTCAAAATAGGCTTATGATTTACAATGCATACTTTCTGACAGTTTTTTGCTATCTCATAACAACATGGGGTATATGTCGACCAATAACACAATTTAAGAAAATACAGACTCAAAATAAGGTAGTGAAATTTTTATTTGGATATAGCTACAGAACACATACAGAGAAAATATATAAAGAAACAGGAATAATGCCCTTGGAACAAATATTACAAATAGAACAATGCAAATACACTTACAAAATACAAAAAAATCAACAAAAATGTAATACTAAATTCAACTTAGTTAACGAAACTCACACATATGAGACTAGAAATCAAAATAATTTTTACCTATCAAATGTAAGAACAAACTTGGCACTAAATAATCCTATATACAAATGTCTAGAAACTTTCAACTCTTTGGTCTCTTTGCCAAATCCTGTGAAAAATATAGATAGCTATTCTTCATTTAAAATAAACTTGATTCAGCACATAAATCAACAAACTACTGTACTATGATATACTTAAGATTGTAATTGTTGTTGTTCGTGTATAAAAGTATATTAATGTATACTAATGTGTATAATATTATGGTAACTACAGAAATTGTTATTGAATCATATGTCAATTATAATGTTCCGTCACCAGCATATTGCTGATTAGGAACAAAATGCTAGATGTATTTATTAATATGTATGCTAAAATGGTTAGATAAAAAAAATGCCTAGCGGAGCTTCCTCTCAACAAAATTTAAAAAAAACTTCATTTAGCATGGGTGCGAACATTTTTTGTTTCCGAGATATAGGTTGTCAAATTTAACAAAAATTGAATCATTGATATATCTTGAAAAAGTATTTCTCACAAAATTTGAAGATCCTATACATTTTAGAGAGAGAATGGGCGAGTGGACTGATAATGAATTATTGGCATTCAATTACTCCACTGTGTCGTTATGAACCTAAATAGATTTTTGCAACACTTCTCACGCTTTTTTTATGTAAATAATAAGTCTATGCGTTGTTCAAAATTTCAGAGCTCATTTCAAACGTACCGTCATGGCCGCCATTCGGCGATACGTCGAATAAATGGTGACGTTTTGTATCTTAAGAACACACGGTCAAACTCATTGTAATTTTTTTTGACATCAAAATTCCAACAAGAATACCTTTTTTATGTAGAAGTGTTCAAAGAATCATATTCTGGTAGTAGAATTGAGATCTCTTGAAACAAAAAAAAACCTGTATATAATATAATGCGATATTTTGCCATATCAAAAGAAAACATATTTGCATATATAAATATATTGTTACGACCCTGGCGATCAATCCCAGCTACCTGCTATACGGGATGTAAACAAGCCATATTTCTTGGAATAAGTAATTAGGTGATTCGACGGCTATTGAGATGACTCGAGAAGATTATCGACCTGTTCACGATATTTCGAGTGGAATCTAGACGTTTTATTAGGTAATATAAATAGATGTTGTTAGGGACAGGAAGAGAAGTCTTTATTTGGAAGCGTTATAATAACGATCGAAGAAGTGTTGTGAATCGGAAGTGTTTAGTACGAGTATTGTAATTATTGTATAGTAGTGTGCAGAATAAATCGTTTTAAGTGTTATACCGAGTGTTAAGTTATTACGGACCCAGAGTAAAATCGTAACAGTGGTGTCAGAAGTGTGGATTTTTCGAGGACATTTGAAGACGTATGGTGAATACAAGGAGTACGTCATACGACGCGATGGAAGACATTTTGAAATTTATGCAAAATCAGTTCGCGGAACAAGAGGAAC